TATTTGCAGGTCATCCACCATTTGATGATAGAGCTCACAATCATCGTTTAATTTTTGATATATGTGCAGAAGGCTTACGACCACCAATATTACCTGGAATGCCTGATGATTATGTGCAAATGATGCAGAGATGTTGGGATGCAAATCCATCAAAAAGACCAACTAGTAGAGAGCTTCGAAAATTTGCTAGAAATAAACGTAATGAAGTTTTTAAAAATGATAATAATGAAATTTTTGAAAATAAAAATTTAACGAATAAGAACTTAAAAAACAATAGTTTAATAAAAAGATTATTCAAATTTTCTAAAACCAAAAAACATGAAATTGATTTTAATAGTGATGGCAACAGCAGCAGTGGTTGTAGTAGTGCTTTGCAACAAGCACACAAATCACATCCAGGTGCATATCATACAAGTAGAATATTGGATGAAGAGATTGCTAAATCTAAGAGCTTTAAAAGTTGTACAAGTAATGACAGTTTGTTGAATAATCTTGATTTTAACTCTTTTCTCTAAAATGTGAATAAAAATTTCATTATTAATTAATTGGAAATTACTATCCATTGATTATTACTAAATAATTAATAAACATTAAATTCTAGTAACAATAGTAATTTAATCTCCACTATAAATTTATTAATTATTTTTTTATTTATCTTTTTATTTAATAATACCAACATAAAATTTGTTTCTGACCTGATTTAATTGCTTTATCAAATAAGTCTGATAAACTTTGTACAGAGCCCGGAACCATATCCTACATACAAGACTTACTGTTATTTGAATATGTGGAGTTAATTTCGGAGGAGACAATACTTTGTGTATGAATACAAGTCATCTCTTGTATTAAACCTTCTACAATTTGATTATCTGATTCAAGTATTTCGGAGGTAGTATCAGAATTGCCAAGGGCATGGTTTTGATTGTGACATTTTGTCACAGTTTTTGCATCATATAATGATGAGGATGTCATTGTCTTTTCAGATTCCGTTGAAGTGTCCTGATTAACTAAAGGTAAATCTTGATCCTGAGAAGTGGAAGTTTCCTTACTATGTAATAGCTTTTTTTCCTTATTCCTTTGCCTTATCTCATCATTAATCCTTTTCTTATTTTCCGAATCTAAAAAGTCATCAATTTCTTTATCTTCTAATGATTTAGATTTGCCAGAGCATGTTTCATTAAGGTTAAATGTATCGGAAATTGTATTGTCTATCTGTTCTGAAGTTGCTCCCTAGAATTGGTAATCTGTGCATTTCCACCACTTGAACAATTCTTGCTGGGCAATGAAATGGATTATTCCAGAGACTTTAAATCATTAGTAACAGTTCGATTTTGCTTCTCAATATTCTTAACAGATCGTTTTAAATTTGCAATTTCTGCCTTGAGCTCAGCATTTTCTGTTCCAATTCCGCAATTCTAACCTCAAGTTCATCTTTTTCTTTCGCAATCTGTTCCAATTCTACGATTCTAGCCATAAGTCTGGCATTCTCCTGTTTCAATAAATCTAATTCGGATTTGATGTTTCCCATTATTTTATATAAGATGCAGATATGTTCAAAAGTTTATATTTCATAAATGCAAATTTTGCCACAATATAATAGTAGTGGAGTTAGTAGTGTCTATGACACAAAAAAAATTTATTTATTTTTTATTTAATACTAACATTTAATATAATAAAATTGATCAACACTTCAAAAATTATTGATATTAATATGTATTCAGGAATATACATGCCATATATAATTACAAATAGCACGAATGTACTGGAGGAAATATTCACGTTTTTACAAACCAATATAACCCGCAAAATGGCTGCCAGAAGCAAAAAATAATAAATTATTTATTGAATTTATTACTCGTCAGATAATGATGATGATGGTAGTAGTGATGATAATAATTTAGTTATATTTGTAGAATTATTAGTATTAATACTAATATTTATTTTGATCTTGTTGGTTTGAGTTGTGTGTACTCATCCATTGTCCTGAAAAAAGCAATGATAATCAATGTCTTTGTTTGTACGCATGCTTATCCTCAACATGTGTAATCATAACGTATGGATCAGTGAAGGTTTCTGAACATGAATTGCAAGAGAATGATGATGGTTCAGGTGATATAGATTCTCGCTGTAATTAACCCAGGAAATATATGAATAATAAAATTGATTGTATATGTCAAAAAGTAAAAAAATAATAAAAACGCACCTGCAAAATTATATGTTCTATTTTCCATATTACTAAAGTAAACATTGGTAAAAAATCCACATTATCAACATCTTTCCATCCGTGATTAATACGGCGTCGATCCCTTCTATATATGTGAATCTCTTTATTTTCTGGGTCTATTAACCACCCTAATTGTACAGAGGTCCCCTCCGCGAAGTATACATCCTTGAATTTTCTATCAAGTTCCACAAACTTTGAATGACTTGAAATGTTTCCAACTTCGATAACAAATATAGGGGTGAAAGGATCACCTTTAAAACTCCAATTCTGTTGTGCATCCAATTGATAATCTATTTCTTTGGGTGTATAAGCAATATCTGGCGCTCTGATTGCTTTACCACCCCCAACATCAAAATCGAATCCTCCCTGTGACGAGGTAACGCCCCCATTTTGCCGTGTCCAGATATTCCAATTACTAAGTTGTCTAACAATTTCAGCAACAACTTTTTCTCTAGAGTAAGGTGATTGTGGCATAGGGATAAGCTTGCCGTTTTTGTCAAGATCAAAAAGGTTAACTGGATGTCTGTCAATTTCTAGAATGCGTGTCTTGAGCTGGTCGTTGATGAATTCAAATTCTTCAAGGGTATATGAGCGATCGAGATTTAAATTATTAAAATCTATTTTCTTATCATTGGCTTTCAACATATCTATACCAGTAGTTAGAAAAAAATTTTTTTAAAAAAAAGATGGTATTAATAATTTTATATTGCTCAAATTTGATTATCAAAACTCACCTAGACCCTTCATAACACTAGTGAAGATAAGATAACCGATATAGTTGATGATTGTAATCCAAAGAAAAACACCAGAAATGTGAAAAAACTATAATAAATAGTATATGAGGTAACCTTAAGTTACTTGCGCAAACAAAATAAGGTTAGTTTTGCTTGTTGCATACCACAAGTCCAGCAATAATAATATTAATGACCGTGATCCAAACCACGAGAAGAATAATTGGAATGCTGACAAGGATAGTTACAATACACATAAAAAAAAAAAGTAAAAAAAATTTTTCACAGAAATGTATGATCATGAGGTAATTAATCAAATTTCAAATTTGGTTATAAGTCATCAGGCAGTTTCACGTATCAAGAATCTAAAAATAATTTCGTTGCACAGCCACACGACATATTAATTATCTGATCGATTATGCAGATAGAGTATCAAATTTGAATTTCTTCCTTTACATTGATATACAATCAGAGAATATGGAAAAGATACTCAACTATTTCATACCCGCGTTTAAGAAAGATCCCGTAAAATATATGCATGGTATTCCTTCCGATTTTCACGATGAAGTAATGGTTAAGGAATTCATTGGAGACAAGTATTATCTCGTATACTTGAAAAAGAGTATTGCAGAGGATCAAGGTAATGGATTAAACGAAAGCTTTTATCTCATGTAACAAAAAATAACGGAAATTCTGATGTTTACGGCAATGCGATTATTACCAAAGTAGATGGAAATATGAACAGTGAGAGTATCAAAGAAGTAGATATCGGTATGGATCTTGATAATTACATTTAATCGAGCGGGAATCGAAAATCATAGTAGAGAAACCTTTTATTAATTTTTTAACAATTCATATTTCCTAATAATTAAACTTGATCAATTCCATCAATATCCTTTCACCATGTAAAATTTAAACAATCCTGGGTCATTGTTATTGAGCTTGGACTTGGGCCAGTTTTCCCTGAGTAAACGGTACATCAAAACTATAATCTTTTCTTATAATTACTCCTCTGATATTTTAATTATTATTTCTATAATCTTTATGATCCTTCCTTTATTATTATTATTATTAACAGTGATGGTTGATTAATTATTCATTAATTTTGTTGACATCCTTTATTACCACCACTATCTTTATTAATTTTTATATTGCAATTCTCTTTATTCGTATTATTATTATTGCTACTATTACATTACTATTATGTCTATTATTTTGAATCCTTTACATTGGCCTGCAAATAAAATGTGTCGTTGGGTATTACCCTTAATAAGCTTTTGTATAATAAAAAAACTTAATGGTCAAGTTTCTTTGAATATGTTGTATGTGGAATTGAAATATGGAGGGATGGATGTATTCCTTTGCAAAGCATTATGAGCAATATCGATATTATAAATGCGGGGAAATTTTCATACTATTTCGGGTAAAAAAAAACAATAGTATTAATTTTGAAAAACTCATAATTTTTATTTCGAGTAATAATAATAATAACAAAAAAATTGCGACACAAATAAAATTTTAGGTTTTTACCAATTCATCAGGATCATTGATAATACCATTTTTTTCACGATGTTGATACTTGTATAAAATCGAAGAAAAAAAAATTGTATACCATCTAAAAATTAAATTAATAAAACAAATGCTATTTCATCGGTAAAAATGTGTATTTGTGTCATGCCATTGTTTCAATATGATGGGATGCCAACATGGGTGTTCCAATGGGCATGGAACTTTTGTAATGATTTTTTTTTCATGTGTCTCCAAACAGTAGGATGCGAAATTGTTAAGTTTTGTATTGCTTGAAGTTTTATAGCAAGTTGTTGTCAGTGTTGTGCAATGATGCATGACAAAACTTTTGACTTTAGTTGTTGACATGACTAAAGTATTGATTAAAGGTAGTTTCTCATCGAGGTCATTTTGACGATTTGAGTAAAGTAAAAGCCTTTGGCGTAATTAAATCACTTGAGGTACTTGACATAAATAAAACTCTTGATACGTGATACAGGCAGCAATAATGATAATGATAAAATAGAATTATTAAAAGTTCCAAATTATGTAAAAATTGGTATTCTGGGGATGATTAAAGAATTATTATATCATTGTATGTATATCGCAATGATGCAAGAATAATTATCATGGAAAGTTATAACTTTAATTAGAAATTTTACTTAATTAAATTACTTGACTTTTTTTCCTGTATATTTTCTTTCAAAATAAAAAGGCCTCTCCTTTTTTACAAATTAAACTTTTATTATTACATAAAATGTAAAAAATCAAATTGTCTTTACATACATATGAGTTGTGTTTGTTAAATTTATTAACTACAAAATTACATGCAATACTAGTAATACGCAATAATATTAATATTAATAATGCGTTTGGGCCGCCTTTAGTGTCTGAGTTTGAAGCAACATAAGTTGATTGATATTGGTATATACTTAGAACAACCTTTACATAACACATAAAACAGTTTTGGTACATATTTTTGTAAGTTTTAAATTTTTTTTCTATTTTTATCACTTTTAAATTTTCAAAGAATTGATAAATCGATCACGAGGGTGAAATTTGTTCAATTTAAAAAAATGTTGTACGAAAAAAATTGTTTGTTACACGTCCGCAAAGAAAAAAAAAATAATATAACAGATAACTGTCATTCTCAAAATCTCCACATTCATTAAAACAACAAGTCAAAGTTTTATATTTTATATTTTTATATAATG